CCTCTAGATAGGCAGAGCCAGCTGTCACTCACGCAGCTGGGCGGATCTCGACATTGATGTCGGGATCCGCTCCGGCTGCAGCGTCTCAGTATACCGCAAGCTGTAGCTCGCGGTATACTGAGCTTAGGGTGACGGGAGGACGCTAGTTTGTGTCCTCCCGTTACCCTAAGGAGAACTATGGAGAAAAGCCATGACCCCATAGTTCTTTAACTCCAGAGTTTAGCGTCTCTTAAAGAACAGCAATTGTGTCTGTTGGCACAGTGCAAGAAGTAAATAGAAAACTATGCAAACATACAAACAATGGAATACAATTGGTATGGAGCAATTTCATTGTATGTTTACAATTCGCTCATTTGTAATACGTTGATTTCTAGTTAACTGCCAAGAGACTAAGCAGCATTAAAGCAGTACTCCAGCCAAGCCTTATTTTCAGAATTGGTCAAAATCTGTCACCATTTTATTATTGGCTTTGTCCATGTTGGGGAAATGTGCCTTTGTCTGTCCTGGTGACCACTGTCATCAGAGAAGTGAGGGGAAAGAAACAACATCTACAGTTGTCAACAGTGCAGGAGTATAATGAGGATACCTGCTCCATTGAGAACTGTTGAAGGGGGAATTTCCCCTCATTTTGGTTAGATACCTAATCAACAACGGTCTGTTCAAGGTTAAAAATCACATGTTTTTGGCTAGATTTCTGGTCATGAGAAAAACATGACGGCTGCCACTGTGGGCTTCATTCTGAAAACTTGTCACTCAGTTTCTAAACTTGTTTACAGCAACACTGTGGGCATCCTCCTGGCTGTGAGCACCTATCGCTGTTCTTGCTTGGAGATCGGTTGCTCATTGCAAAGCAAGCCTCCCATCTTCAACTGGCACCCTCAGCAAAGATGGACATAATCATAGAGGTGTGTGTGTTACATACACAGGGGTTCACGCTTTTAGCAGGATTGCTGTGACACACTACCAGAGGCAGGCAGCAACATGTAGCAAAAGGGATTTTGGGGCAATTGCTATACAGCACCAGTGCTAGTCTGCTGTCAGTGTGTTTATTACAGCCTTCTTTTCAATTACAAACACCCGTGTACACACGAAGGCATGGTTCACACCTGGGCGTTTTGTAGCACGTTCGAACGCTCTGCAAAACGCTCAAACACCAAAATCCCATTGTTTCCTATGGGTATGGTTCACACCTGGGCGTATTTCAGCCCGTCTGAACGCGCTACAAAAAGGCCTACGCCCAAAGAAGTACATGTACTTCTTTGGGGCGTTTTGGTTGCGCGTTTCCATTGGGATACAGCCAAGTAGCGAATCGCGGTAAAAACACGTGACGCGAAACGCACATATTCAATACGCCTAGGTGTGACCCCAGCCTTAGACGTGCTTCAGCCCTCTTCTCCCTTATGCTCCGAGTTATGGGTGGTCCCTCACTGTACTTGCATATAGTGCAGGGCTTTTGGCCCTGCACTGTACTTAGAGAATTATGGGGTGATAGAAAAACACTCACCGCCATAATTCAAGCCAACCTGCGAAAACACACCGCCGATCGCTCACTTCCCCATACTCTCCCTGCAGAGAGCAATGACTGTCAGTCACTGCTCTGCACAGGGATTCCCCCCTCCCCTCTCCGATCTTCAATCGCTGACTGGGGGAGGGCACAGCTGGCTCTGCCCCTGCTCTAGAGAGCCAGAGCCCGCTGTCAACAAGCCAGAAGTGTGGATTCCGACAGTATGGCGTGACTCTGCACTCTCAGCATATAGCAGGCAATAGCTCGCTATATACCAAGTTTTGGATCATATACGAATGTCCTCCTGGGACCCTGAAGAAAATCATAGCCAAAAAAGGTTGACCCATAGTTCTCTTTTAGGACCTTGCCACACCATCAAGAGTGCTTTCGGCCTCTGGAATGCAACCCAGCCGGCTCACTTTGTTTTGGGGCGGGAGGGGACGTGCATTGAACTCAATGGCACTGCAGCCACACAGCCCACCTGCGGTGTGATCGCCGGCACATTAGTGTCTGCGTTCCGGTCCAGTGCGATCTGTAAAAAATAGTGCATGCAGCATTTTTTGCAGATCGCACTGGACCGGAACGCAGGCACGAATGTGCCACGTGTTCGGATTCCAGCAGTCGCACTGTGGGTGGGTGGCTTCCCATTGATTTAAATGCACAGCCACGCCCCCTTCCACCCCAAAACAAAGTGAGCGGGCCGGGTGGCGTTCCAGAGGCCGAACGCACGGGAACGCACTCTTAATGGTGACAGGGCCCTAAATTATGTCAAGATGCAACCACCGTGGCCTGGCAGAAGCTTAGAGAAGAGGGATCAGGGAACTAATTGCAGAGATGGATGGAGCTTGTCGGAGGGAGGAAAACTGAACACAGCTTATTCCTCTACCATACTTGCTAGAGTTTAACTTTACCACTAAAAAGGTATTAAAGATACATATATGTGAAAAATTTAGTGAAGCGCATAGTAACCAACCAGAAAACATCTCTTATGTAACCTGACAAACAGAAAGCCTTGCAGTTTGCTGCAGTTACCCAACACACATTTTCAATGGTTCCATAATCTTCCTGAATAAGCCCATATGAGGTCACCAAACGATAAAGCCTTTATCATAAATTCAAGTCACCTCTGGGAACAAGACTTCTTAGGTCTAACAGCTCTTATCTCATTGTCACTGCACCTTCCAGACACAAGATCAACCCTGCACCCCTAGACTTAACAAGCAGTTAACCCTTGGAGTTTTGTAATGTCTGGCAGTGGGCATTAAAAAAAAAAAAAAAAAAAAAGGGGGGGGGGGGG